ACTGCTCTTGAATTTGAAGCCAAGTGTCTACTGAGCGACATATATCACAGTATAATAATAATATTAATGCAGAGTTTTTATGTATCCAGTGAACTTCACTCCGAATCGACGAAAATGTCCAAAAAGAGGCTGGCCGGCAGTACAATCGCTTTTATGCACTGCCCTGTCCACTACGCAGTTAGTTACGAACAGGGTTTGGAACTGGTATTTTAAATACCGGTATTATATTTTTCGGTTATATACTACGAGTATACGAGCGCGACGTTACCAATTCGACACAGCGTGGATGCGGCCGAGTGAAAATACAACGTTACTACTTCGTAAACATTAAACCGTACTTAGCGGCGCTCGCTGGACTTCAAGTACAAGATAGTCCAGTCAACAAGTTCAAAAACGTGAAAAATAGAGATAAAGCTCCTAAAAATATGAGCAATAGCTCATTGGATTCGGAACGACCTCTAGAAAAATGAGTTTTGAGGATTTTACTGCACGTAAAAAATTGCAATTGTTATTAACAAAATAAGATGAAAAAAAAGAGGTATTAACGTTTTTGTTAATAACTCATAAACTATTAATATTTACGATATTTGGAAAAAAGGGCCTTAAAGAGGAGGAAATTTCCGAAAAAAAGTCCCAGCTCCCGGAACTCTACCTCTATTATTTATAATTTTAATTTACCGCTGAAAATAGGGCTCCGCGCAGCCATTACGGCATGGGCGCACTGCCGTTAAAGACAGTTTCTTACATAAAATTATTTTTTTATAGTAACAAATATGAATTTAAAAATTTAAATAAATTATGGTGTCATCCAGATACTTGAAAGAATATATTCCCGTTGGAAATTTTTTTTTAAATTAATTTTTCAAAAAGTTATGCAATTGTTAATTAACGATTTTTTTTCCTATCTCCGTTTTTATAAATGACGACATAAAAATTTAAATAATAAACCTATAAATTTTTGGCTCTGTGGAGCTCTTCTTATATATATACTTAACAAGATCCCGCGATAAAAGTTTATTAAAGTTAATTATTTTGTTTATAACAATTTTTAAAGTTAACAAAAAATGAAAAGTCTAAGAAATGTTATTAAAAATTTTTTTTTAAACAAATGTTATATTATTGCTGCTTTCTTATCCAACAATGGCATTAAGTAACATCGGAAAAAAAATTTTTACATCATTTGTTAAGAAATTGTTTATAAACAAATAGACAAGTTTAATATTTAAAGAAATTTTTTTTTTACCATTATGTTGTCTTGGCAAAATAATGATTTTCAAAAAAAAAAATTTTCTTAAATAATTTTTTTTATTGTTTATAATCGTTTTTTTTTATATTTCGATTGTTTAAATAATTAGTTAAGGAATGATTTTCTCTTTAAAAATCATAATTGGCATTTCTTCATAGGTAAATAGAAAAAAAAAAAAATATCAATAATTTCATTGTTTGTTAACTTAACAATTTGTTATAAACAAATTCTAACTACCGTTATATTTTTTTTCTAGAGCTAAAAAAATAACAAAAACAGCCATATATATCAAAATACTAAAAATATTTTTTTTCTATTTTTTATAACGCTTTTAAATATTACACGATACCAAAGTTGCACCGGACACTTGATTTGTCAAGTAAAAAATTAATATAACTTATAAACTATTCGAGATACGATAATGGACATTCAGGTCGTTTTTATAAAGCATTAATTAATCTTCAAAATAAGCTAAAAACCAAGTTTGTAACTATATAAAAATATGGTTAACATGTAAAAATTTAGAAGATACGGCAGATCAAACTACAAAAAATATGAAAAAAAAATACTTAATGACATCGAAGAAACTATTTATTTAAATAAATGATAAAATCAGTTTCACTTAGAAGCTATAATAACTTATAATAATGTAGAGAAAATTAAAAAAATACAAAATGAAGGTAAGTGTTAGATAAATATTAAATAAATATTAATTAAATCACGTATATTGTTTAAACAATTAGAGATGGAGGTACGATTAATTGATAATTTGGGAGATAATGTATCGCTAAACAAAATTGTTTTAAGGTTTATAGCTGTATTTTAATTATTTATTAAGTTGTAAGTCATAAGAGATACGAAAAAGTTAAAGAAATCTCAAAATTTTATAAACAAATGCATGTATTAGCTGATAAACAATAGTTACAAACTTGGTTTTTAGCTTATTTTGAAGATTAATTAATGCTTTATAAAAACGACCTGAATGTCCATTATCGTATCTCGAATAGTTTATAAGTTATATTAATTTTTTACTTGACAAATCAAGTGTCCGGTGCAACTTTGGTATCGTGTAATATTTAAAAGCGTTATAAAAAATAGAAAACATTTTTTTTAGTATTTTGATATATATGGCTGTTTTTGTTATTTTTTTTAGCTCTAGAAAAAAAATATAACGGTAGTTAGAATTTGTTTATAACAAATTGTTAAGTTAACAAACAATGAAATTATTGATAATTTTTTTTTTTCTATTAACCTATGAAGAAATGCCAATTATGATTTTTAAAGAGAAAATCATTCCTTAACTAATTATTTAAACAATCGAAATATAAAAAAAACGATTATAAACAATAAAAAAAATTATTAAAGATTTTTTTTTTTAAAAAATCATTATTTTGCCAAGACAACATAATGGTAAAAAAAAAATTCTTTAAATATTAAACTTGTCTATTTGTTTATAAACAATTTCTTAACAAATGATGTAAAATTTTTTTTTCCGATGTTACTTAATGCCATTGTTGGATAAGAAAGCAGCAATAATATAACATTTGTTTAAAAAATTTTTTTTAATAACATTTCTTAGACTTTCCATTTTTTGTTAACTTTAAAAAATTGTTATAAACAAAATAATTAACTTTAATAAACATTTATCGCGGGATCTTGTTAAGTATATAAATAAGAAGAGCTCCACAGAGCCAAAAATTTATAGGTTTATTATTTAAATTTTTATGTCGTCATTTATGAAAACGGAGATAGGAAAAAAAATCGTTAATTAACAATTGCATAACTTTTTGAAAAATTAATTTAAAAAAAAAAATCTAACGGGAATATATTCTTTCAAGTATCTGGATGACACCATAATTTATATAAATTTTTAAATTCATATTTGTTACTATAAAAAAATAATTTTATGTAAGAAACTGTCTTTAACGGCAGTGCGACCATGCCGTAATGGCTGCGCGGAGCCCTATTTTCAGCGGTAAATTAAAATTATAAATAATAGAGGTAGAGTTCCGGGAGCTGGGACTTTTTTTTCGGAAATTTCCTCCTGTTTAAGGACCTTTTTTCCAAATATCGTAAATATTAATAGTTTATGAGTTATTAACAAAAACGTAAATACCTCTTTTTTTTCATCTTATTTTGTTAATAACAATTGCAATTTTTTACGTGCAGTAAAATCCTCAAAACTCATTTTTCTAGAGGTCGTTCCGAATCCAATGAGCTATTGCTCATATTTTTAGGAGCTTTATCTCTATTTTTCACGTTTTTGAACTTGTTGACTGGACTAAGATATCTAATCATAGACGCTCCAACACGAAAGCCGTGTCGCGTCCGTATGGCTGTATGTATCTAGTGCCCAATGCAACAGCCGCTATTTGTCCCGTTCACCCGCATAACATTTCTTAAAAGTATAAAGCCTTTACAATACCGGTAAAGTTCAGAAAATACCGGTATTATTTATAACTGTATAAAATTATTACCAATATGCTGTCTAGGCCAATGACACCGGTATCGAAAAATACCTGTATTCCAAGACCTGTACCTTTAGCACGAACTAATACCGAATTCGAATAGTTTGCGAGAGCGAAATTTCATGTCAAATTTTGTATGGAGAGTACAATCTGTCAATAAGTTCTGGGAACCAACTGAATTTATCTAACTAAATGATGTTTTGTTTTGACTTAAGATTGAGAAATATACCTCTTTTAGTTAAAAAAAAAGCAAACGTAAGTGTCATGAGACACTCAGTTGGAATGAAGTTAAAAATAAACACAAGTATACAACTAAGTACATACAATACGCTACTAAATCAGCTAACGGTTGTGATGAAAAAATCTTACATTATTTTTCGCTTAGCCCCCATCCGCAAAGTCCGTACCGTCCGAAAATGAACTTCGTTCCAAGAAATTACACCATTACTGTATGACTTAACTAATAAATTTGTTATTCCAATATCACAGTTTGGTTATGAAACCCTAAAAAAACCACCATTAATAATAGTGTATTCAATTCAAATCATGTAGTTACAATTTTAAGACAATGATTTTTTCATTGCCCTGTCTAAATTTGTTTAAGTCTACGTAGAGATTTATTTGAAAGATGGAAAAAAAGTATTACTCCACGAAGCACCCCCTGAACAGCGCAAGCCACGCCAAGCACAGATTTTTTTCTAGCACTAGTTCTATCCTTAACTTTTACTACTTAAAGATCAATTTTACAATGAGTTACTTAAGGAAAAATCTCCTATTGAAAAAAGTATATTATAGGTCATAATTTTTATTTTTTAAGCATCTACCTGCTTGATGTTTAAATCTTAAGAAAAGAAAGAAAAAGAAATATAAAAAATCCACGCGTACCAGGCAGCAGACGGGACTCGAACCCGCACCCTCGCTATCCGGGTGAATGCACTGACCAATCATGCTACCGCGGCCCTGATGGATTAATCACTTTTAATAAAAAAAAACTGTCTCTATATGACTTTAAATAATTGTCAAAAATGGAATGATGTATTAAACACGATAAAGCCTTGATTCCAACTAAGAATTTAAGTGCAAATGGTCCTAAGACGTCCATTAGACGCTCATGCAGGCGTCAGTCATGAATGATGAAAGACAGATGGTAACTAAAAAAGTCATCAGTCACCAAATTAGAAGACAAGATATCTATCAGCCATAACCACTGCCAGCAAACTGACAGCAAAACCTACGCTCTAATGGGCGCCTAATAGGCTCATAATTATGATGATGTTATTTTCCAGAGGCGGACATAATGTCTGCAACGGTTCTCATTACATTTGGAGCGCTTCTGGGTATTGCCAGCGGTGTCCAGTTACTGTTCATTGCTATAGTGGAAGTCGCTGTCGCTTCTCTCAATTTTTGGCTTGCTGAGGATATTTTCAAAGTATGTAAATATATAACTTACTGGTGTAAATTAGTATATTTGATAATATTTTGTGATACTGATTTTCTTTTAAACTTTACGAGTGTAATCTTTTAGGAATTTTTATAGCTGTAGTAACTAAAGATTTTAAATAATAGTTACATTCTATAAAACATTTTTGTTTAAAATATTTATTAGCGAGAATTCTTGGATCTGCCTTAGCTAAACAGATTCCTTGAATTTACTTTCGAAAAAAAAACAGTTTCCTATAACTTGAGAAAATCTTATCTTAAGAAGATTTGAAGAAAATTATGGAAGTTTTAAGCACCTGGTCGCTATTAGTCTGTGAAATACATAATTTTAAAAAGAAACGTTTTTAGATAATTTGGATTTGATTATCCCGTCTCGTTTGGGTCTACCGCAACTTATGCAAAGTATACATTCCAATTTGGAATTGAAAAACTTCATAAATAATTAATTTTAGGTGTCAGATGTTGGTGGCTCAATGGTAATCCATGCTTTTGGTGCCTACTTTGGTCTCGGTGTAAGTCTTGCTTTGAAAGCCAAACCAAACACTGCTGATGCCAATACTAATAATGTACCTACGGTTGATCTCAACGGGCCAAGCTATATTTCTGACGTCACAGCTATGATAGGTAAGTTTATTACAGTATTTTTTAACCAATAAATTTTGGATATATAGTACTTACTTACTGATATCTAGATATCAGTAAGGTACAAATATGACCTATCATTAAAAACCATAATCATAAAAGTTTGTATATAAAGAAAAAGTAGGTACTGAAAAATCATAACAAAATTGTTTTAAGTAGCTACAGCTGTGTCCTCACAATATTAATACAGACTGTAGAAATATTCAGTTTTGACTTAGAAAATAATTTAATATAGCTAGACAGTGTTAGCTGATTCTATTGAAAAGGATAAGAAGATTTGAGAACTTTTCGTGGAACTGAATGTATAAATTAATAATGCTTTCAGGATCAATATTCCTATGGATTTATTGGCCCTCTTTCAACTCTGCTTTGACTAGTTCTGATGAAGAATACCAAAGGGCCGTGATTAACACATATTTGTCGTTAGCTGCTGCGACGGTAAGTTGTACTTGTAAGATTATTTTGTTTATTTGTTTTATTTTTATGATATTCTCACAAATAGATAATTGGCACTGGGTCCGCATGATGGGTCACAGCCCAGACTCCCTATTCCATCCATAGAGAAGGCCTGTGCTCTTGCAGTGGGGGCAGCAGGGGCATAGGCCTTCTAGGCCCAGGCTGATGATGATGGTAATGAGACAAACGTTATGAAAATATTTCCTGCAAAATTTAAATCACGTTGGCTTGGGATTGCTATAGAAAATAAAGATTATTTCAATATGAGTTTCTGTGATAATATAAATATCTTGAACGAGAAGAGTGACGATTTCAAAACTATCTTTTAATTTTATGATTATTATGCTCTTGTTGTCGCATTTGACTTTTTATCGGAAACATTTAACATAATTGGCAATACTGGTTATTCGGGTAGATAGGTCCGTCCTAAGAAAGACCAGTAAGGCGGCGAAAAAGTTTAGCAAAACTTCCTATTACATTAAAACGTTGAGCACAGTTTTTATGAACCAATCTTTTACGTTATAAAACTACAATCGTCGTTTAATAATATATATTAAACGACGGAATAATGCCAAAACACGCTTGTGAAAATATTATGGCATAGGAGATTTTCTTAACATAGTCTTAGTATTTTAATCCCTTCAAGATTTTTATCAGATTTTTATTTGCAAATTATTGTTCTCAACGAATTAGTTCAAGACCATGGATTTTTTTAAGTATAGTTGATAATCTAACTACACTTACTAACGGCCAGCAAGGCCGTGTGTAAGATTCCCATCATGTTAACAGGCTATTTATGCTGTTGGCGTTTCCTATATCCCGCTATGCATAAAGTCAAGGAGTTGTAATATCAGCACGCTCTCGTATTATATCTAACATGGAATTTCAGAACATGCAGTGAAGTTGCATGTACATGTTATATGGATACGAGACCAAGAATCAAAATTGATAAGTATCAATTTTGATTCTTGGTCTCGTAAGAATAGTAGTTTTGAAAAAAAATCCCAAAGTATGCATTACTTTCGGATTTTATTACAATATTCAAAACATGGAAATAATAGTGATTAAATAAAATCAGATAGAGAATGTTAATATGATAAAAGTGATAATCCTTTACCTAAAATTAGATTTTGTATAAATAGATGTAAAAAAGGCTACCTTTACCTACCTACTTCTACCTTTTAACGCAAAATTTTAATGACATAATATGCATATCAGCGGATAGCATTTCGCAGCAAATCATTTGGCATTCACTCATTTAGCAGACATTCATACGCATAATTTTATATGCCAGAATCATCCTCATCGACTCATTTAGCAGACATTCAAACACATAATTTTATATGCCAGAATCATTCTCATCGACTCATTTAGCAGACATTCAAACGCATAATTTTATATGCCGGAATCATCCTCGTCGACTCATTTAGCAGACATTCAAACACATAATTTTATAAGTAGAATCATCCTTAGGCATAAATATCCACAATAATTAAAAAGCAGAACCATCATATCGCAGTAAGTTCACTATGGTGACTGGCGCTTCATGGACCTGGGTTCGAATGCCAGGCGAGGAAAGACCTTTTTTTATTAATGATTTTATTTATACTATCTTTTTCTTCTAAGGTGACGACGTTCGTCCTTTCATCGGCTGTCAGCAAACACCACGGAAGGTTCGACATGGTCCACGTGCAGAACTCTACGCTGGCGGGTGGAGTTGCCGTTGGTGCTATTTGCAACATGCACATTAGTCCAGGAGGTGCAATCGCCATTGGAATTGGAGCCGGATTACTCAGTGTCCTTGGTTATAGGTTTTTGACGGTTAGTAATGCCTTGATCACAAGTACCGAGCAAACGATCGAGACAGTGCTCTCAGCCGAGTACTCAGACTGTATAAACATAGCGCCGAGTACCAGTTTCAATTTCACTATTTATAAATTAATTCTTTAAAATTAATCAACAAAGATACTCATAAGAGGACACTCATATGATTGTTTACATGCTAACGGGACAAATTGTAACTGTGAGCCTATAGAACAGGTACAGTCGTACAAATATCTGGGTCTGACAATTGACGAAAAGTTCTCCTGGATCTTACATGTAGATAGTGTCTGTAGAAAATTACGCAGCATACTGTGTAAGTTAAGCACCCTCAAATACATGGTAAGCAAAAGCGTTTTGTTTATACTATACTTTGCATTAGTTGAGGCAGTAATCACGTATGGGCTGGGGGTGTATGGAGTCACTTTTTCCACCTATTTAAATAAAATTAAACAACTTCAAATAAGAATCTTAAAACTATTAGTCAACAGGAAAATAAAAAAATCATTACAAAAAGATTACGAAAAATTATTCGCAATATGTAAATTATTACCCATAGAAAGTAAAGTAAAAATATTAATTATGATTGAAGAATTTGGCAAAACAGAATATCGTAAGGAAAGACGCCATACATACCCAACTCGCTTAGCAAAGAAAAATAAACAACTGTTAATACCAAAAATAAATAACTATTATGGAAGACGTGAAAGACGGTGGATGGTACCCACCTTAATTAATGAATTACCGGAAGATGTTACTAAAGATGCGGCCTCTAGGAATAGTCTTAAGCATAGACTAAAGAAACATTACCTGTCACTATGTCCATGACCTGATTAATGTATGTCAAATGTTTAATTTATAGATTATATTAATTGTTACTCATTCGCGCAAAAGCTACTGAATGGATTTTAATTAGATTTAGGAAGCATATAAGTTTGGTACTGATAGAAAAGAATAAATTGTAAATAGGGAAAACAATAAATATAAGTTGTCACGGGAACTGCTGCCGACAAACTGCATTGTAGTTTGGCAGAGAAATATAGATAATTAGTGTTTTTCTTTGTGGAAAATAAATTAAAAAAAAAAAAAAAAAAAAATGTATTTTAATAAATATAATTGATGACAGAAACGATCATATATTTTTTGTAATTTGTTTTTCGTTACAATTTCGAAATTATTTAGAAAAAAATCAGAGCTACCTAAGCTCGCCACTTATATTTTCTAGTTGACATAGGTGCAGACTACATAATGTCTTGGTATTAACGACCATGAAATCATATACCTAAAGATAGGCTATGTTGGCCGCTTACCCTTAGGAATAATATATGCTTGTTTGCTGGATGGCATAAAAAAACTATTTTTAAGATTGAAAAAAGTTGTACTTTTGTACTTAGGTCGATTAAAAATAGTTTTGTTAACGATGTAGCAATATTGTTTTCCAAGACTACTTAGAATTGAATTCACAATTTCTAATATATACATGTTTAGTATTGCTTAATCGGAGTACAGTAGTATGAAATTATAATTATAAGTAACCAATATATTGTTACAATGATAAATATCTGACAAAAATTTTGCCAAATAATTGTCTGAATTTTAGATGCATTCTTTTAAGTAAAGCTCAAATGAATAAGTATTATTATAATTTAAGGTTTTATAGTCTGCAAATATTTATACTTCCTGCAATAAAAGTGTTTTTTTCTCCTCAGCCAAAACTTGCGAGCATCGGTATACTGGACACTTGCGGTGTGAACAATCTCCACGGCATGCCAGGACTGTACTCTGGACTCTTGTCAGTCCTCTTTGCTGCACTCGCAACGAAAGAGAAATATGGAGAAACAGATCTTTTCAATATATTTGAAGCCATGGAGGTTCGTATATTTTTTAAACTTTTTCGATATTTTTTTAATAAGTTTTTTGCAAATATTCCATAATAGCTTCTAATAAAAAATCTAGATTTCTAAGAAACAAGTAAAACAAATTTGTTACTAAATAACCGATATATTTATATTTTGATTGCTCGATTTAAGAGAAATGCCAAACTTAGAAACGTTGCTCATTCCAAGACAAAATGGATATTAGTGGCAAATACACTTCTGGACACATCTATTGGCCCAACTTGTATTTTCAGTTTCGTTTGGTCCTAGCTAAAATTTTATATTAGGTCCAGCAAAAAGTTTTAATGCAGTTTTGAACCTGGCACGTTCACAATTTCATTCAATAGTCTTTTTTTGAATTTCGAACACAGTATTTAAAGAAACAATAGACAATTTGGAGCCTGTTTGTTGATATCAAACAATCGAATACTAAGAAAACTTGGTTTTACTGGTTTACTTGGATTTAATTCTTGAAAAAGTGATTGATATCTTTGGTTTTGCAACAAACATTACTTATTCTTAACATTAAGGTGAGGTTCTATCAATAATCTATGGATACTTCACCTGAAGTCGCCGCCCAAGCTGTGGCACTTATTCAGGCCGGACACAGCCAAAGAAACGTGAGTGCTCAACTTAATTTAAGTCGATCTGCGGTCCGAAATGTTTATCAGAGGTACCTAGAGACTGGCGGCTTTGTTCGTCGCCAGGGAAGGCCACGATCTCGGGTCACAACTGAAATGCAGGATCGATTCATCGTGACGACCAGCTTGAGAAATCGTCACCTTACCTCCATTGAGATACAAAAACAAATTCGCGACTTCCACGGAGTATCTGTGAGCGCTCGAACTGTTCGGAGAAGGTTAAAAGAACGCGATATGGTACCACACAAGCCAGCTAATGGGCCCAAACTAACGCGAGCCCACCGAACAGCGCGCCTTCATTTCGCACGCAGTCATTTAAATTGGACACAGCAAGATTGGAGCCGTGTACTCTTTTCTGATGAGTCTAAAATTGTGTTACATGGCAATGATGGAAGGAAGAAGGTCTACCGACGTAAGGGAGAGCGTTTCGCACAATGCTGCTTTGAAGAGAGGGTTGCTTATGGCGGTGGCTCATGGACTGTCTGGGGCGGTATATCCGCGAGCGGCAAAACTCAACTTGAGGTTGTTACAGGACCACGGCTGCCAACATTAAATGCTGAAAGGTACATTCGTGAGTGCTTAGAACCTCACGTGATACCATACGCGGACTATGTGGGCCCAAATTTCCTTTTTATGCATGATAATGCAAGAGCCCATGCGGCCGGCATCGTCAGAGAATATCTTCGGGATGTGAACATCACAGTTAAGGACTGGCCAGCCAGAAGCCCAGACATGAACCCCATTGAGCACATGTGGGACGAGCTAAAAAGACGTGTTAGGGCTCGTCAGCCAGTTGCCCAGACGATGCAGGAGTTGAAAACTGCCATAGAGGAGGAATGGGAGATGATCCCTCAAAATTTCATAGAGCGGTTGATAACCTCTATGCCTAATCGTATGAGAGCTGTGGTAGATGCCCATGGAGGCAACACGCGTTATTAAATTAAACCTTTATTTGATAAAACATGTTTTTTATTTAAAACTCAATTGCCTTTAACAAGGCGCATATCCGACTTGTTAGGCGTAGCTCCATGTCGTATGATATTCTGAATTCAAATTTAAAACAATACGATCGAAAAAGATGGTAAAATGTATCAGGTTTAAAACTGCATCAACAGTTTTTGTTCAATCTAGCAATCATATTGCGGTAGGGGCCATCGAAACCTAAACTCTAAGGTGGGCCAATAGATGTGTCCAGAAGTGTATTTACGTCATATTTCATATGAGGAGCTGGCAAACAAAACGGTATAATTACGTCAAATTAAATTTTAAAGGAGCAGTAAAAAACTGAATGACATACCTACAGTGGACACAGCTTTTGGCGTGATTTTTAATTTAGTAATTTTAACACTATTTTAGTTGGTTTTGTTTGACATGAGTTGGAATTCAAATTCAGCTGGCCCAAAACCTCCGGGCTGTAAAAATAAAGTATGTATTATATATGGTCGACACCATATGCGTAATTATACCGATTTGTTTGCCAGCTGCTCATATCCTAGCGGATTTAACAGAATATCAAAATGCATACGAATAAATAAAATGTTTTTTTTTTATATGATTATGACTTACTTCTACCCAATGATTTTCTCAGGACATATAATCATCATTATCCTATTAGTGTCTCCATTGCAGGGGCACAGGCCTTCCCTATAAATGGAAGGTAATTGGACCATGACCCGACACGCTGGCTGTGAATTAGTGGGTGCTAACGACTGCAGCTGTAGCTGGGAACAACGGCTTAACGTGTCTTCCCATGGCCCTAAGGAGCTTTAAGATAATAAATCTTTCATCCCATCCTAAGACACCGACCCTTGCAAAAGTTGCTAAACTTCAGCGATCGCAGCCAAACGCGCTAACCATCTGCACCATTGAGCTCCTCCAAGGAAATATTTTGTACAATCCGGCCCAATCGCCTACAACAGCTTTTCAAATTAGCTTCCCTTTGATGGAATTTTATTTTCTACTCGGAAAAGATATCAGTTGACCTTAGATTAAAACAAAAAGGAATGATACGGTACGCTCATACTAGTATCAAATAAAATATGATCCGACTCAACTACATAAGCAACTCTCACACACGCACACGTCTGTAAATAACATTCAATCGAGCGAGCGAGACCGAACTGTACGCTTCAACGCAAAGAGAGCGAAACGGCGAGTCCGCTTCCGAGTGCGAACGGCTGAACTGTATTGTTATCCTTTTCTTGATAACAAAATGGCGATTACGTAAATAACATTCACGATAAACCGTGATTTATGAGAAAATAATGATTTTACAGTTTTTTTAAGAGAAGTGTTGCTAAGGCATTTTTTTTGTACACAAAATATACGCAATATTGTTATATTGACTGCACTTGCATCGTGTTTGAATGTCCAATTGTGACTAAAGCGAATTGTGGTCATGCACCACAATTTAAGCGGATCACTTTATGTTTTTCTTCTGTGCAGGTAATGCAGTATCTAGGCGTGTACATGATCAAAAACGTATCTATTCAAAGCTTAAAAGGAGAATACTGTATTTAAACATAACTCTGTTCTCTGTATAGTAACTTCTTGTCTCAGGCAAACTTAGTGCAGTCGTATTTTGTATCAACAATTATTTCAAATTTATTTATTGCACTCATGTGGTTATTACAGATTATTCAAAGTATACCTTTGTTGTGCTTTCAGGGCGGCAGAACTGCGGCGAATCAAGCTTTGTACCAGTTTATAGCATTAGCAGTCACATTGGTACTGTCTCTTGTTTCCGGATATATAACAGGTGATTAATTGTTTGAATTACTTATCACTACTTTTATAAAGTTTTGAAATTATTTGAAATTACGACTTGAGTATTTTGTGTTCGTTTAAAATTTATTCCTTCAGTCGTGCTTTGAATTCTATAACGGTTGTTTCCTATGCTGGAGACTACGAAAATAATTTTCCTTTGACAACAATTTCATTTAATTGATATTTTACTTCCATTTATGAAATGTTATGATACCGATACCGACTTTCATAATTAATGGGGAGCAAACTAAATTCCTAAGATGAGCGGCGGAGCATTATTTTAAATGAACGATCGGTTCGGCATTTGTCTTAAGGATTTATTCACCTATCCCTGTGTCTATTTGTATTAAATCAGTTTCCTGCGCGTGTAATTTTATTTGTTGATTTTTTTTTGTATATTTAATTTTTTTTTAAATACCAAAAACAGGGAAAACAAAGAGTAAGCAAAATGGCACGCCTACTAACCTGCTGCTAATTGCTTGGTAATAATAAAGTTAACTTACTTTCAAAAATGTTCGTACATTTTTAATGTTTACTTAATTATCTAGTCTATTGATTGTAATTAACTTATGAAAGTGCACTAAGGATTAAAAGTAATAAGATATCAATTTATGATGAGCTCAGTGTTGTCACTAAGCAAAATATACGCCAACTTGTAGAGATTATCAGATACATACGTAATAAATAAAGATGTTTAAAAAAAGAATAGAGCTTATTGATTGATTTTTTATATTCATTCAAAGAAAATTAATCGTTAAGTTTTGATAATGGCGGGAGAGTGACATATAGAAAAAAATACTAATTTAAAGTTTTTAAGGTGAAACAAGCTCTTGCGTTATGATTATGAGAGAAATACTTATATGGCTTACTACATCTATAATGCAATATAGTATTGAGTATTCAAATATTTGAAAATAATATCGAGTTCATACCCTATACTTTGCTTAAAAACTTCAAAACAGACAAGTTTTCTTTTGCAGAGAATGTAAAATTGCACTTAGGACCTTCTAATAACAAGAAAATTGTGTTAACACTAATCCATATTAATATGGATCATCCATATTAATACCAGAAAAATATTTTTTGATTAACTTTTTGAGAACATTCAAAAACACTAAATTTACCTTAGTTCGGTATACACATATTATTATCAACTCACTTAATTCCACACAGGACAGCTTAATAATACGTTCCACAGAGAGGCCGACTTAGTCCCTCCTATCCTTAGTTTTTATATTCTTATTTACATAAATTACCACCGTGTATGGCTGTCCTACGAACATATGCACTCATCATTTGAAAACTGTTCACATGAAAAGACATTTCTGGAGAATTAACCAATGTTCCGATAAACAGATAAAATGGATACCTTGACTCTTTGCAAACATTTCTAATTCTAAATCCTTGCCAGCCAAACCTTGAATATTTTGATAAATAATATTAAATTTATTGGATTTGGCTATTGTCGTATCCCTCAGTTTAAAATTGAGTTAGTCACCCTATTACTAAAATTAATATTTGTATTAGTGTTGACACTAACACCATTTGTCGTATAAACTTTGTTATACCATGTATAACTCAATTTTGTATATTGACAGCTAACAAAGTAGCTATCTGGGTCTTTATATATTATATTTTTTGCAAGATACATAGTAACTGTGGTCAACTTAAAGTTACTGATATATTTATTTTTACCAAAATATAAAAAATGTCACTATGATTATGTAATAAGTTATAAATAATTAAATTCAAACTATAGATGCGCTTGTTTTGTTCCCTAGTTTTCTGCATATGGGAAAGCGCTAATTATTATTTTAGAATTACATCTAGATTGAAAGTTAAGTAGCATCTCTATATTTTAAACATATCTTTTGCTCTTATTTCAGAGCTGTCACCACACATAATAATTATGTTAGTTGAACTGTATACATTATACCGACACAGTTCATTTATAGATTTACCTGGCATACATAAGTATATGTAATAATATACAAATATATATATAACATATAAATACTAATAAGTGGGTAATACTTTCATTTCAATAATTTCTTAACATTAGTCCAAAACCGCATCCTAACTTATCTGAGAACATAAACGTTCAACTTATTACTTAGTTCAGGCAACGAAAAGGTATAGAGGGAATTGCTTAGAACACAATTTTTGACTTCGTGACTTTGTTAGGACTAGTTAGGAGGTAAACATATCAAAAGTCCCCGCCCGTAGCCCTTAAGCCCTTAAGATTTTTATGGAAGTATGTATAATATATGGAGTCATTTTGAACATTTTTTATAGACATTTACGGAAGTCGAAGTTAATTTAGTATAGGTACAATCATCATTTCTGGGTTGACCTGCGAAACATATAACAGCCCAATCTGTACATATAATACCTCTCAGTTCAAAACAGTGATATTTGATAACACAGTTAGTCCAGGCAACGAATGCTCAAAAACAGGTATAGAGGGAAATGCTTGGAACACAATTTTTGATTTCGTGACTTTGTTAGGACTAGTTAGGAGGTAAACATATCAAAAGTCCCCGCCCGTAGCCCTTAAGCCGGGGGGGGGGGGGGGGCTTGAAGGTCCCATTTTTAGGTTTTTCGCATATATCTCGAAAACTATGCATCCTAGCGACATGAGACTTTCACAAAAGTAAAAGCTGATAAATTTGCTACAAGTCTTATTCAGTCAAATTTTTTGATATCTTGTATAGTTTTCGAGATATCCGCTCTTGAAAGTCTGTAATTATGGAAAAAAATTTGTTCCCATTTTTGCTCTATTTGACCGGATAACTCTTCAACAATGCACCCAAAAAATAAATGCCGGCCGTAGGGTTGTAGAGTATTAAATTATCTTCAATAATAGAAACAATTGCCTTTTTTTTTTTATTTAAGGACAAAATTGTTAGGGTAGTAGACGTATGGGGGCGGTACGGTGGGCACTAGGCCGCGTACTCAGCCCCCACGCGCGAGCCGTCCTGCGCACGTCTGTGGGGTCCTCGCGATACCCCGGGAGACCCCTGCCGCGGAACCTCGGCAAGGGAGGCTGCTAGGTGCGGAGACGCGGAAGAATCCCTAAACGGGGATTTCGCGGCTTCGCACTAAGTAGCTTAGAGGGTGTTCGCAGGGTTTTTTAGGGGATATTATGCCGTAGAGTGCCCGTAAGGGTTACGGGGTCCTCAGTGGGCAGCCACTGCTGGGGCTCGTAAGGCTTGCGGGAGCCAGGTGTGAGGTCCGTTCGGCGGTGTGCCTCTTAAAGGCGCCGTCGTCTGTAAATAGTATTTTTTGCCTGCGTATAAAAAAAAGGGGGTAGTAGACGTATTGACTAAAGGGGGTGCCTGCGTCGCCCGGTAAGAAAACTGGCAGTGTTGGCCGTTACCTAAATAAGTAGGTGTCTACACCGCCGGGGGCCATGTTCACGACCAACAATACCTATTATATGATTTTTCGATTTTCTGTCGATGCAGGAAAGACTGTGCAAGCGCGAAGTGAGGCTGCAAAAAAGCAAGCCTCAAGTGTTCCCCAGCGTACCAAAATTGCCAGGGGAACTGCTTGAATGGGGTCCCTCAAGTTGACTCCGAAGGTGAAGAAGAACAGGAGGATCCTCTGACCGTTTCCCTACAGGGTTCCGATGGAGAAGATGACACAGAAAAAGAAAATGTAAACGAAGACGAGGATCAAGGTTCTTCCCACCCCAAAAGAGCAAGAAATTGACTATATTGGATTTTTTTACAAATCTCTTTTTGCACGTCATAGTGAATAGTATCTAAAACTGCTGCCGTATTCGTACCTGTATAGCCAATGAGAACCGAAAAAAAAACCAGAGGCACAGGGCCCTACCGTCTCAATTGTTTTTAATGTCCTGTTTTATAATTTTAATGATTCTTAATACTACTTTTTGTGTTGAGCTGGACCAATACAACACCAGACAATCTTATCATTTAAATAATCATCTAATTTATAATAACCTTTTTTGCATAAAGTAGTTAACTCTTACAGTTTTGTTTAACTTATTTTCTGGATTAAGTGTGAAGAACCTGGTCAGTGGGCCAACAAGTACATATTCTAAAATGAGCATGTGTGCTATTTAGACATCGGTGCATCGTTGAAAAGTTATCCGAGAGTTATCCGGTCAAATAGAGCATAAATGTAAAGCGATTTTTTTTTCTATAATTACAGATTTTCAAGAGCGGATATCATTATTACAGATATTATTATTAGATAATTACAGTTTCTCAATGACACTTATTTACTTTCTTTTTTACTTATGGACCTCACACCTGGCTCCCGCAAGCCTTACGAGCCCCAGCAGTGGCTGCCCACTGAGGACCCCGTAACCCTTACGGGCGCTTTACGGCATAATATCCGCTAAAAAACCCTGCGAACACCCTCTAAGCTGCTTAGTGCGAAGCCGCGAAATCCCCGTTTAGGGATTCTTCCGCGTCTCCGCACCTAGCAGCCTCCCGGCCTTGCCGAGGTTCCGCGGCAGGGGTCTCCCGGGGTATCGCGAGGACCCCACAGACGTGCGCAGGACGGCCCGCACGTGGGGGCTGAGTACGCGGCCTAGTGCCCACCGTACCGCCCCCATACGTCTACTACACTAACAATTTTGTCCTTAAATAAAAAAAAAAGGCAATTGTTTCTATTATTGAAGATAATTTAATGCTCTACAACCCTACGGCCGACATTTATTTTTTGGGTGCATTGTTGAAGAGTTATCCGGTCAAATAGAGCAAAAATGGGAACAAATTTTTTTTCCATAATTACAGACTTTCAAGAGCGGATATCTCGAAAACTATACAAGATATCAAAAAATTTGACTGCATAAGACTTGTAGCAAATTTAATCAGCTTTCACTTTAGTGAAAGTCTCATGTCGCTAGGATGCATAGCTTTCGAGATATATGCGAAAAACCTAAAAATGGGACCTTCAAGCCCCCCCCCTCCCCCCGGCTTAAGGGCTACGGGCGGGGACTTTTGATATGTTTACCTCTTAACTAGTCCTAACAAAGTCACGAAGTCAAAAATTGTGTTCCAAGCATTTCCCTCTATACCTGTTTTTGAGCATTCGTTGCCTGGACTAACTGTGTTATCAAATATCACTGTTTTGAACTGAGAGGTATTATATGTACAGATTGGGCTGTTATATGTTTCGCAGGTCAACCCAGAAATGATGATTGTACCTATACTAAATTAACTTCGACTTCCGTAAATGTCTATAAAAAATGTTCAAAATGACTCCATATATTATACATACTTCCATAAAAATCTTAAAAAAATAAAGAAAGTTATATATCACAAAAAAATAAATGCTCCAGAAGACATCGCCAAGTTCCTGTTTGCAATATGAATGCCTGCAGCGGCCGCAGTGCCTGTGTGGAACGCACGAGGCACGCACGGTCCCATCTGTGGCACCTGTGGCATGCCACCTTTGTTGATGCCCATAACTGCCCATTCCTACGTTGCCTTTCAGGGCCTTTTTTATTAAATAAATGTTTTGTTTGCATTGAAGAATAATGGTCCACTCCGGAATTGGAATCTGAACTGCTATTCAACCTCAAAAGTGTAGCGTTCTGAAAAAATAAGAGCAAACCCATAATATGCATATGTTTTTGAAACATGAGAAATAGACCATAGACTAGACATAGAGAATAAACTGAATGTTTCCTATGCAACAGTAAAAAGAGCAGATAGAGTGAAAGAGACGAAGCGATCGCGCGGCCAATAATTCATATATATCTTCTTTTGTGGCCGCCTTTTTCTAGAAAGTTGTCAATTTCATTCCGAAGTCTTTTTATGCTAAAGAGAATAATAAGATTTACGAATTTGATATCAGATCCAATTGTTTAAATTTCCGAGGACCAAGGTTAATGGGGGTGGTAGAAGCTTACGGTCACCTAAAAAACAATAAAAAACTTTTTTGTAATTTTTATTTTTTGTTACATATTAAGATATCATTAACTAACAAACACCCCGAATTCGCACGGCAGTCGTTAATTCATGGTTTTATATTTAAATGGTTAAGCATTCGACTGATAGATAATTAAATGAAAAGAAACGTTTACTATCCCGGCGGATAGCGAAAGATGGTTGAATACTGTCTAAAACCTGGACGGAGTGGATTTTTTTCTAGTCAAATTTCCTTAAGACTAACTTAATCAAAAAAGTTTTTCTGTTACAGGACTTTTGACGAAGCTGCCCATTTTCGACTCCCTCAAGGACACCGAGAAATACGATGACGAAATTAACTGGGAATTACCTTAATCGAGTTTTCATTAGCAGCGTCTTCATTTACATTTGAACTTAAATGGTATTAATCCTTTTTGGGAGCAGTTCCTCTTGTAAGAAGGATTAAACTCTTGTTAATGCTTAGAATTGTAGGTCGGAGCGCTTCCTTACATTTTAATTTACAGTACGAATTATACTTACCGAGAGATTTTCGATTTTGCATTTTTCAATTTAATAACGTAAGAGCTTTGGTTAATAGGACTTTTTCATAATTATAACGATGCTAGCGCCTTCATAGTTTATGTGAACACGTTAGTTTTTAAAATACTACTACTTAACTACAATTATTAAAACTATAATTACATATATTTTATTATTATACTTTATATAGTTAAACTTTAGACAACTCATTTAAATAAAATTGGTCAACTTACGAATGGTTCGATAAACCATTCCTAATACAATAATACAAAATAATAGTAATGGTATTAGGAATGGGATTCACACTTTTGATAGTTGTATCATTTTGGTCGCCGTTTTATTTAAATAACCGTTTAATTATAGATTCATGATTTCTTTGAATTTGTCCAGTTTCAAATCTTTAACCAGATTGTGTTTGAAGTTTCAAACATTAAATTATTGGCATTGTGATAGATAGATAAAACTTTATTCACACCAACATGCACACATACAAAATTGAATACAAATTTTACAATTATATAAATCCTTTAAAAATATAACAAATTATATTTATACAATAATACTGATATTTTCGTGTGCCGCAGCGATGCGAATGGGCGAAAACTCAGCGTAACATTTACTCCGAGAGTAAATCACTGATTTTCAGTTCTGACCCATGTAGATGAGGTCACGCAATTAAATGTCAGATTAAAATTCACAATACAATAAACGAAATTTCAAATTAAATTAAATACAAAAAATAATTAAACATTCATTGGACATATAATTGTTATGGTACTTTTACATAAACAAAAATAATATGATAAGTGTTGAAGTTTAGTTGTTGAAGTTTACTAAAATTCTGTCGTCTTTTTATTTTATTCCATTGTATTTTATTCGAAAGAGTATATTAAGACATATTTCCATATTATAAAAATGTTTATTTGATGGAAAAACTGTTCAATTTATAGTAAAAGATATGAAATTATTTACGTAATATTGTGAATAAACTTAATTTTATATGTGTATGTTTTTTATATGTTTTTTTTTTGTTTTTAGATGTAAGATTTTTACCAAAGATTACAATTACATTGTATATTATTATTTTCATCATGGTAAAGAAATATACAAATGCGAAAAGTTATTAAATAACTACTAAGTACTATACTTTGTATTACCTAAATATGTATTGAAAAAATAATCACAATAGGTTACTAAAGCATTTCTTCTGATGTTACTTACTAAATGAATTAAAGTTATTTGACCGTTTATTTCGTTTTCATTTAAAAACATTTTATCAAAATTTTGTTTAACTCATATTTACTTGATTTGCCTTCTGCTCCAACTCTAGATGTAAACGCTTGAGTTAACTTTAAACTTAATATTTAAGCTAAGCATTTTTACTTACTTTACTTATAAACATAGCTTATAACATGTATTTTAATTGTTTGTCAATATGTTGTTTATGTCGGCGCCGAGACGTGGACACTCACGGCTGGACTGGTCCACCAGTTTAAAGTTGCTCAGAGACCTATGGAAAGGGCTACGCTCGGAGCGTGCTCCCTGAAGGACCGCATCAGAAATGATGTAATCCAACAGAGAACCAGAGTCACCGACATAGCCCACCGAATTAGCAAACTGAAGTGGCAGTGGGCTGGTCACATTAGCCGCAGAACTAACGGCCGATGGAGCTGTAAAGTCCTTGGATGGAGACCGCGACTCGGTAAACGTAGTGTGGGACGCCCTGAGACAAGATGGGATGACGACATTCGTAGGTTGGCTGGAGGGGGTTGGATGAGAGTGGCAGAAAGCGGGAGCAGTCGCGTGCATTAGGGGAGAGCTATGTCCAGCATTGGACAAGCATGGGTCGATGATGATGATGTCGTTTAAACGAATAGGTACCAACTAAAAATGCCTCTTGTCACCAGTCCACACACTAATTGTGTGCGCTGCTTCTTTGTTAGAGGACTATGTGTGTACTTCTTCTAGACTATGTGTTTAGATCTAGCTTAGATCTACATCTTCGATCAACAATACAGTATTTTTTGTATTGTATAGTAAACAAAATTCTATTTAGTCCGTCAGTTAGATTATTTATTTTGTCACACAATCAAAAATATGATAAAGATAAAGCGCGTCAAAGTTTGGGAGTGGTAGCTCGTGACGTCACTCCTAATTAAAAAATTACCAGGACGTGACGTCATGCGACATATGTCGAATCATTATGTATATGTCTGTAATGTTTTGATTATATATATACAGAAAAAATACGTGTCCAATACTTTTTTTAAAAACTTTTATTTAACTTGCAATGTAAGTATGTATGTTTGTTCGAGTGGAATCTTGCAACTAAATTTTGAAGCAGATATCTTCATTCGATTGAGCTGAAATTTTGTACACAAGTTTAGGTTGGATGACAATAAAAAGATGGCGGCTTAAGTTTCATATGGTATCAAATGAGAAGACTAGCTGATAATATGAATGAGGGTAGTTCTAGATTATGTCCATCGAACTTAATAGTAACAAATAAATAAAAAGAAAACAAGCTTTTATTTAAATGCGCTAAAAATAATAATATAAAAAAAATCTTTAAACTTCTACTGTAAACTTATAACAACTAGATATAGACTAGATTTAAAAAGGCTTTGGTAGTTACAATATGAAAATTAGAAACAAAAACACTCATGTAAATAACAGGTAAATCTTGCGACATAATAAAACTAAAAAAAAAAGTCATCATTTGTAAAGAAAGTAGGGGACGCGTTTTGCTAAGATCCCCCTACGAAATTTTCCATCACGAATTTGCACCAATCGATACGACGAGATTTTTGTCATCCATCAGGAAGCAACCTTGCCAACATGTAGGATCATGCAAACCACTGTTCCCAGTTGTCTTATCGAGTAGTCCTACCAGTTGAACGACTGGGAATTTCCTTCCCAATAGACTTACTAGTGAGAAGCTCGATGGCGCGGGTGGTTAGCGTGTTCGTCTGCGATCGTTGAAGTTAGGTACAATATAAATATATTGGACAACTTACTATATGTAAAGAAAAATATTATACATTTTTGTGAAAAATGTGATACACATAATGTTAATACTAGGAAAAAACACGATTTGGTTGTACATAAGACTCGTCTCCACAGAATAAACAATTCCTTTGTGGGCCAATGTATACGTTTTAACAATAAGCTTCCAAATAATATGAGAGATTTGCCTATTAATAAATTTAAAACAACTTTAAAAGCTAAATTGTATAAAAAAGCTTATTATAAAATTAATGACTATTTGAATGATAAAAATGCGTGGGAGTAAAATCTGCCCAAAATTTACGCATCTAAAACTGTACTTTTAGTACCTTAGTTATTATTTTTTGATGTAACTATTGACCTGTACTGATGTTGTAAGATCAGTACGAAATTGTAAGCTGTGGAGTTTCTGTCGCCGCTTCTTCTCCGATAAAGCAGCATAATAATTAGGTATTTAAGTGAAATAATTATTGCATCTCGAAACTGTGGTAGGGAGTTGACGATTTAAAAGTACTTACCAAAGTCCATTTAAATAAAGATATTTTGAGTTTGAGTTTGAGTTTGAGTTTGAGTTAGGCAACTTTCGCAGTGGTCGGTTATTGGATGGATGACCAAAAATCTTCTATCTCGAGTTCCTCCATGCTTCGGAAGGCATGTTAAGCCGTTGCTACCGGCTGCATCTGCAGTCATTAGCACTTGTCAATCAGCACTGGACCCGCGTGGTGGGTCATGGCCCAATCTCCCTATTCATCCATAGGAAACGCCTGTGCCCCAGCAGTGGGAACATTAATAGGCTGATGATGATGAAAATTTTGTTGCGTTGTTTACGTAGATGATGATGATGATCTTGAGTACAAACTTCCCAGTGGTCTTACTAGTAGGTAAGTTTGTACTCAGTAAACTTACTACTAAAACAAAACTCCCAATAGTAGTTATTATGTAGAACTTGGTAATTGATAGATAAAACGCCTACATGGTTAATTCTTAGTAGATACATCGGCTAGATCCATGATGGATTAAGTGATTACTTATTTTTCTTTAAGATCTACTTACATAATAGTTATTTATTATACAAGAGTGGAAAGTTCCTTTTTAACCGCGTGCTCGATTTGGATGACCGAGCAAGCGAAGGATTCTAAAGTTGAATCACGAGCGCAGCGAGTGATTCTTAATTAGAATCCTGAGCGTCAGCGAGGGAAACAAACGAGCACAAGGTGAAAAATCTTTCCACTCGAGTGCAATACGTAACTTTTCATCCCACCTCAGCGAGGAAATGACAAAATGAAAAAGAAAACAATTTATAATGACAAAATATTTTTATTTCAATTAAAACACATTAAGATAATCTATAAATTGAAGAAAATAATAAGAAGTAGAAAATAATTAAGAAATATTAAATGTAACGTTGCTACAGTTACTTATGTTAAGTTTAATATTTTTGTTAGGTAATGTTATGTTGGTGTTTGTGAATTGTGCGCTGTTTTGTGGTAAACTACTCGTATCAGTAATTTTAAATAGTTGTGCCGATTCATTGGATTCTATTGGCGTAAATGTTGGCGAGAGAGGGCTATTGTTTCCAATCTTATGGGGGCTCATTTTAGATGTAGAAGGGCGAGACCAAGAATCTGACAGAGGTTCTTTCAGCGTTATGGCCTCCACGATACTATTACAAATTTTTGATTTACTTTGGATTGAATCCTCTATGTATCCCTCTACAACCGAATTAGACTTCCAGCCTCCATGGCGCTTAAGCGATAGAAGATCAGCCCCTGATTCGGCCAAAAGTGTGGCTGAGGTTCTTCTAAAACAGTGACCGGTGTATAACGGGGGGTTCTAAAAGTCCGAGAAAAGTTGCTATTTCTCGTGGAATACTGCCAATTTTATTCTGACCCATAGGTTGTCGGATACACTTTCCGTTGCGATATTGTAGAAAAAATCGTTCAATTGGGGTGTTAGAAGGACGTAAAGCTTGATATTTCTGAACAATGTTTACATATTCCTTGCGAATAACGAAGTTGCGGTCTTTTTTTGTCTTGGTATTTAGTACATTAATTAATAGCAATTCATCAGAATTATGAGAATATTTTGATACGTTATTGACATTAAGTAGTGTAAGTTC